CGTCGAGTTAGCAAGTTGAAATTGGTGAGTTATCCATGTGAAACTGATCGAGAAGAAGATAAAGGGAGGCATCTCGTACAACCTACAAGACAGAGGACAGAGTTGCATGGTCTCCGAACTTATTTGCCCAAGCGATGGCATCGATAGCAATGTCGTGCTAAACGTAGCGCACATATGTTTGAGCAAGCTCAAACATGAGGCAAGGATCAACAATGAAGCTCATGTGAAGGGGCGACGAAGACAAAAGGAGGAAAATAGATCAAAAAGCATGTGAAAGAAGATATATTTTTTAATTTATAAATTATTATAAAATTTTAAGGTTTTTATTTTGGACATGTTATTTTGGATTGCATTTTATTTAAATTGTTATTTTATTTAAATATTGAGATTAATATGTTTATTTAAGATTATACTTTATTTTTAAAATAAGTAAATAAATAAATAAAATTAAACTATATTTAGAAAAATTATTAACATTCTAATTCTAGTGATAAATTTATAATTGTGGAAATTTAAATTGAAGAGATTAATTAAATCTCAATGCTATGCTTAGCATTAAATTAAATATTTGTAAGGTTAAATAAAAACTTATATATTTAATAAAAGTTATATTGGTGAAATTGATACCGGAGGAATCGGAAACACAATTATTATTTTTGAGTTCCCAAACAAATTACAAACATGACACTTGAAGTAAAGACAACAAACAGGAACAACATAAACAATAAAAGATATCTGCAAGTAACAACGAGAACGAAGCTTGGTGGATGATGGGTTGGCGACTAATGGAAGATAGTTGCGACTGAGGGGAGGTGGCGGGAGGGAAGGACGGTTGCTTGGAGATGGCTGTGGTTGTTGGATGAAGGCTGGAAGGTGGGGGAGGGGTAGCGGTGCTGGAGGGTGCAGGGACAGCCGCAGAAAGTGCCAAATAGCAGCTAGGATGGTGTTGGCGAGGTTGGCGGCAACATGATAGCTATTGAAAGTGTTGAACAACAGTAGGAAGGGAATGAAGATGACAGCAAGGCTGAGTGGTTTGTAGCTACTTGAAGAGGGGTCGGAGTGGGTTGCAGTAAGATGAATGTCTCGTCATGGTTGGGCTACAGTCGAAGCACCCCCTGAACTCTTGGAGACGGTCACCACCTAGGATGAGTTTCAGTCGGAGCACATTCTTCTCGTCTGGTACAGCTCCTGGAGGGGAAGAACGTCGCTAAAGCAACACTCAGAAATTTGCACTCATAAAACTGCTCCTAACCTCAGAAAGCAATACCTAACATATAAAATAGGAAAAGAAGATGATAGAAAAGAGATATAATAGGCAAAGGGAGTAATATGAAAGAAGTAGAGAAGAAAATAAATTATAATGAGAAAACATCAGAAAAGGAAAGGGAATAGATAGGAAAGGGGGACTGCGGTTACTGTAGAAGCTACAATAACACGTTCGCGGTAAGTTCCCGCGTTATAAATACAATTGAAAAAATTTTGAGAGTTCATTAATGTCAAATTTAAATCGTTAAATTAAATGCTACAACAACAACAACAAAGCCTTAATCACACTACGTGGAGACGGCTACATAAATTCTTTTTCTCCATTGCGTCATATTTAGTGTCATATTTTCATTTAGATCTAATAAATTAAGATCATTTTTTAGATAAGAAGCCCAAGTCTTCCTAGGTCTACCTCTGCCTTTCTTAACATAAGTCGGAATCTAAAACATCTACTATACTAATCGGATCATCAGATGATCGATGCTTAATGTGACCAAACAATTTAAGACGACTTTATCTAATTTTGTCCGTCATCGGAGCTACACCAACCCTATCACGGATACATTCATTTCGCATTTTGTCTCTGAGTGTAAAGCCACTCATCCACGTAATCATTCTCATCTCAGCAACACTTAACTTAGTATTATGTTTCTCTTTTAAAAGCCAACATTCAGCACCATAAAGCATTACAGGTCTCACCACCGTCTTATAAAATTTTTCTTTCAATAAAAATAAATTCATTAAAAATATTAAGGTTAAAAAGAACGTTATGTCAATAGATTTAATAAGGATATGTAAGGAAGGTTCATCTATTAAATAGATGGCAAAATATTGTAAATAAATAAAATTAAAAGTCAATAGAAATAAATATTTTTAATCTAATAAAAGCTAAAATAATAAGAATAAATTAAGAAAAGAATTAATATTATCTTGAAAAGGTTTATATGCTTGAAAAAAATTATTATCTTGAAAAAAATTATGAATATACATTTATGATTTATATACTTATTTAAGCATAATATTTAATTAAACTTATGTAGCTGAATAAAAAAAAGAAATTCTAATAATAGAACTAAATAAAACTAACTGAATTTTCTTACATTTATAATTAGATAATTAGAAATAAATGACAATAGAGGGAAAAATTTTACTATTGAGAGAATGAGATGAGTATTACATCTAAACTATCGTAATAATATTTGTTTCTTCTAGACTAATTGTATGGATAGTAATAGATATTGTTTAATTCAACTGCAAAATTTTATCTTGATTCATTTTCCCTTAATTTTTAATATAAATATTTCAAGTCTATCAACCTGATTGATTTTTATGCATTAATTATAAGATATATTATATACTGAATGTTATAAAAATATGAATGGTACAATTATATAGAGTGATTATATGTGCATGATAACTGATATAGTTCACCCCTCATGGTATTAACGAAGATTGTAATGCTCGTGCGTGTAAATTAAAAATATTATCGGTATTAAAATACATTAAGTGATACAATTTTGATGGTGCACGTGTGATTGATATAAATGATATATAGATAGGACAATATATTGTACTGTAGAATGTTGATTTTTTTTTTATGCTATTTCATTATGCTTACCTAGCATGCATGTTGTTTTTTTTGTTATGTTATTATGATTTAGAAATATGAGTATTTACTGCTATTGATAACTCACTGTGATTTAATCTAATATTTACATGTTTTATGTTTTTGTCTGGAAGATGAATAATATAAGAAAAAAAATTATAATAGACTCATTCAAGTTAAAGAAAGGTAATTAAAATCACAATTGCGTTGCTTTTAGATTCATTTAATCGTAAGTGGCTTGTTCGATTATTTGGGTGATTCTATATATTGTTTAGTGAGTGTTAGACATTATAAAATTGTTTTTCCAGTGCCCGATCGACTGTTCTTACATTTGTACTCCAAGCATCCAAGCCGGAATGTAATGTTTGATAAATCGATTTTGTGCAAATTTTTTCCCATTATTAGTAGCCAAGTTATCTAAAGTTTTACCCTATTCCGTGATAATCTTTCTACATCATTAGTTCTATCAAATAGTCTGATTGGTAAATCTTTTAACCTCCACTACATAAGCTTAAACCAGCTAAGCTTATGTTCCATTTCCTTATTGTTATTCTCAACATCTTTACAACATAAATATTTCTTATTATATATTTTCTGACTTCAATAGACAACCATCTTTGCTTATTGATTTTTCTGACCCTTGGTTATCAGTTACTTTTGATTGATTTAGCAAAACTAATCAAATCATTGCCTTAATAAAAAAAAATGCACTTTGTCTTTAGGTTTCACTTTTAAGTCCTATAGGAAGAGACGATCAAGAAAAATTAAATTGATATTACTTAGGTTTCATAACTTTTCTCGACCTTTATCATCATAACTATGATATATCTATCATATGGAATGACAATATCTTTAAAGTAAGCTAACCATTAATATCATTTGTGATAAATTTTGCATTTTTTGAATTTGAATGTATAAATGGAACTTTAATTTTCATGTTTTCTTTAATATAATCATTCTTAGTAATCCCCTTAAATTATTGACACAATTTATGTTTCTTCGTAAGGCTTTTCGATGAAGAAGAATAGATGGAGAGAATGATTCAGAGTAAAATGGAGAAAATTAGGGAGATGACTCGTGAAAGGTGGCATTTGCTCATCATAGGTTGTGGAACTCATCAATTACAAGTTGACCTTCTAGCCAACTATTCCCTACTTCTTACCGTCATAAGGTTATATTGTGGCGTTATCCTTTAAATCTCAAATAGGACTTATTTTGTGAATTTGATGAGAATTTTAGCGCTGGCTTCAAATTTTTTTAATGTCATTTTGAGGCTAGTCACAACGATTCCATATTGCTGCTTAGAAAGGGACAATTTGTGTTTGTTAAAATTAAATTTGCATTTACACAAAGATGTAGTGACGAAATGATCAATTAGGATTAGAAGATTCTATGTTAGTCTTTTCAAATTTTATCTCAACCTTAAAATATGGAAAATGAGCTTTACTGTTTTGTGTGGGCAAATTTGAACTGATTAGGTGCGGTTTAGGTGATGTTTTCGGCCATCTACTCTAGTGTCCTCTTTCCAATCTGCTTACTCCTTTTTTAAATGGAGTATTTTTTTATTGTTCATGCCGTGGGAATAATTAATCTAATTCAAATGCCATCATTTACATATTGTCCTGAAGATTGTCTCTGATTATTTTATCTCTTCGTAGTCTTAATGCGTTTTAGGTATGTATTGAACTTTGGTGAATACAAGGGGTTATGATATTGTATTAGAGCATTGATTGAGAGTTATTGAATAACAATAGAACTTCTCGTTCCATATCTCTCTCTTGCCCTAGTCTATTTAGGGGCATTTACATACCTACCACCCAATTCCTATTTATTTATATATCCAACGATATATGAACTTTCCTTTTTACATTTATACTGCTTCCACCCACATATTTCATATCACATAAAAAATATTATTATTTTTAATTTAAAAAAGTTACAGGCTTCTTTTCATGCATATGTAAGGTGGCATGTATGTAAAAATTGAAGTTTAGGTGTTAGTTATATCAAGACATAAGAATTGAGTGGTATTTATGTAAATCTTTTTATTATTATTATTATTATGGTCTCTTCTTATTTTACCATTCTTCTTACAAATATATTTTATTGATGCACCGCTTCCTTTCAGATAGAACATTCGCTACTTGTAACTGGATTTGGATACGAACATGATGATGCATGGGCAACTAATATGGATTTATTCAAGCATTTCACTGACATAAGCAGGGTATTCTTTATTTTAAAAGGTGTTCTATGTGAATCTCCTTAAAAGGTTCTTCCGAATTTTAATGTTGTGGGTGACATCTGTAGGGGGTTCGTAGACTTGGTGCAGCTGCCGTGGACATGTCTCATGTAGCCTTGGGTATTGTTGAAGCCTATTGGGAGTATCGCCTTAAACCATGGGATATGGCTGCCGGAGTACTGGTAATTTTAAAAAAAGAGTTGACAAATTCTAAGATATTTTTATCTATTTCTAACTGTGGGCTCTGAAAATTCAAAAAGCGCACCGAACTCTCACCGAGAGCTTAACATGGTGCTTTTGTTAAGGTTCTGGGTCGAATTTTTAGAAAGCAAATGAGATAGTAGGTAATACAATGCCCAGAGCTTTTGTCCTTATTTTGCGAGAACTTTAAGATCCATGGTTCGAGGTTTCCTTAGGCGCAAGCTCCTATGGTTAGTTATCATATAGCTCGCAAAATGAGGACGAAATCTCTGGGTAGTGTCTTATCTACTATCTCATCTGTCTTCTGAAAATTCAACCAAGAACCTTAACAAACGCACCATATTAAACTCTCGATGAGAGTCCGGTGTGCTTTTTCGAATTTTCGGAGCCCACAATAATATGAATATTTTAAAAAGAATTACGTTGTTAATTAAATCATTTAGTAAGATATTCATCCTAAGCCACAACTAGTCTCTTTTTCTAATTGGTAAAATGTTTATCACCATAAATGCTTATTAAGTTTTCAAATCATAGTTGTTGCATCTCATAGTACGTATTGTAATTACCTCTACATGCTCTTTTAATTTATTCATATACTCCATATTGATTAACATATTATGGCAAGCAAATGAGCACCTAAATTTGAAACTTATAACATCTTGTTCTTTTACGAAAAAAAAGATGAATGATAAGTTCTTTCTTTCTACTTCCAAGAATATTTTTCTCATTGAAGAAATTGCTCTGACCTTCCTCCATTTTATGTATGATAGGTGCCATGATTAGTTATGGACATATTAAATAAGAATCTTACATAAAATGGGAAATAGGAATATCAGGGTTGAGGTAATCACACTTAGCACCGTTAGTATTAAGCAAATTTGATGAACATATTGAAATAATTGCATTTAGCTTTACATATTTATCATATTTTTTTATTTCACTCTGGGATTTTTTTTTATGCACTGCTAAGAGCTTAACTTTGACTGCTAATATCAAATTTTCATTTATTATTTGATTATTGCTCAATTTTCATCATTCTTATTATCTGAGTGCTAAGAAGTGCAAAAACATGTAACTGTTAGACAAAACATGCCAGAATGTCTCCATATAAATTCAGTGCTTTCTAAGTGAAAAATCTGATTTTCTTATATTTTTTGAACTTTTTGATTTGGAAGATTTACGTACATACCACTCAATTCCTATGCATTTACATATCTAACACCTACACTTCAATTTTTACACACAAGCTACCTTGCCTATGCATGAAAATGTATATTTCACTTTTTAAAAGTTAAAATGGTGGTGTTTTTTATGTGATATGAAAGATTTGGGTGGTATAACTGTAGAAAGTTAAGTCTATGTGTTCGACATTTAAATATATAGGACTTGGATGGTATGTTTGTAAATGCTTCTATTCTTTCTTGCGAATGCTAGGATCACAATATATATGCCCTGATTATGCAGATAGTTGAAGAAGCTGGTGGGACTGTTACGCGCATGGACGGAGGAAACTTTTCAGTGTTCGATCGATCCGTCCTCGTTTCAAACGGCATTGTTCATGAAAAGGTTAGGATTAATGTTTCAAAAATAACTTTCAAGACTAATAAATGCTTTCCCTATGACTACACTCACCGCAGATTAAAATGGCTCATTAAATCTCTCTTTGTTCTTGCTCATGACAATTTTCATCTGAAAGAAAAAACAGGGGAAATTTACATGCCTAGCACATAGTTCTTATGTATTTATGTGTCTCACATCTAAACTTTCATATTTACATACATAGCATATTGGTGTTTTAAACTTTTGCATGAAAGTGTCTTATAGCTGAAGATACAAATGAATTTCATTTACTGATTAACAGAACTTTCTTATTTTTACCTGCAGCTTCTTGAGAGGATTGGTCCTGCTACTGATGAATTGAAGGAGAAAGGTATTGATTTCTCCCACTGGTTCAAGCCTGAGAGTTATTTCACTGATATCTGAGCTCTAATTTGCATTTTTATTATGAAACATCATCCAGCTTTTCTTCACTTATTCCTTCTGGCCATCTTGATGAACAAAAATTCAACCTTATGTAAAACAATTGGCTTCATTTGCTCATTCAGATGAGAATATGTTCATAGTATGGCACATACCATTCAATTCTTATGTTTTTACATATATAACACCTGAAATTCGATGTTTACATACATGCCACCTTGTGCGTAGAAAGGTTGTATTTCACTTTTCAAAAGTTAAAATAGTGGTACTTTTATGTGATATGAATGATTGGGGCGGTATAAAAAAGTTATGTTTAGGTGTTAGATATGAATGATTGGGGTGGTATAAATAAATGTGAAAGGATAAGTTTAGGTACTTTTTGGTGCTATTTTTTTTATTTTATTTTATGAATGTATCTGCTCTATTTATTTTATATGGGATTATAATTGCTGTGAAAAATGATGGAAATAAAGTGAAAAATCGGATCGAGAAAAATCACAATAATGGTTCGGCAAATTGCCTAAGTCCACGAAGTTGCAGAGGATTTATTGCTTCGAGGATTACACTCATCGATCACCTCGACAATTACAAAAAAAGATCTTTCGCTCTCCTCCCATCTCTCTCTACCTGCAAACCGCACGGAGGAAGAAACAGAAAAGGTAGCAACTTGCAATTTCTTTCTTCCCTTAGGCAGAGCACCAAACCAACATAGGAAGCCGTAGCATGCGATTCTTTTTCCTGTAAAACCAATGCTCGAGAGATTATGAGGGGAGTTGTAGCATGCCTATTTATTAATTACATCATGCGATTAGACCCATTACAGAATTAACCAAATAATTAATGAAATATATTAATTATTTCCTTTTTTCTTCTGCAACAAATCATAAATGACAGGATTTATGCAAGGAGAACTGTAGAAGATTTTAGGAAAGGAATTAAGAGCAATTTATTTAACAATTAATTTCGAGTATCAAATCCAATTTGCTGTCAAATATGAGAAACTGTATATTTGAACAGTGGATCGATTTTCATATTCTTAACAAATCTCCCATTTGGAGACAGGTACACTGATTTCATCATCTACTTGCTGCATCGTCATCTTCTTCATACGTGATATTTTTCACCTCTGCAACTTAAAGTTTTTTGTCTTCACGCTAGAAGATTAACTGAAGTCGGCACAACTTCAGTTTCTCAAGAGTAACATCCTTAGTCGACATATTATCGTCAACATAGTTTTGTACCTTGAAACTCTTTCATGGGTTACTCATGTTTCTGCTTGCAGCTCTCACGGCATGGGCAATATTTTACCTCTACTGAAAGTCTTTTTCAACAACTCAAATGTGTGCAATGTCTTCTTCCCTGGTGGAAGTTCTGTCAGCTCCCAAGTCTGATTCATTGGCAGGAAATTCGTCTCCTCTTTCATGGTCAGCTCTCACTTGCTCGAATTTTCATCTTGCAAGATTTATTCATAGCTCTGACTAATGTGACCAACTCTGCAATGCTACAAATCTGTCGTGTTCTCTGCAACTGTAGTAGCAATAGTGCTGAGTAAACCTGTAGTCATATATAGTGTGTCAGTTTTCTTACTTCGAGTCAGTACTAATGTTACTTTGGTAACCTTACAGGTGTTATCTGAGAACACTACTGAATGACCACTCTCAATGAGTCGTCCAATAGAAATAAGGTTTTTCTTCAACTCAAGAATGTTTCTGATCTTTTGCAGAGTTCATTTGCTCTTTTTAGGGAGTAATATCAACATCTCCAAACTCCATCACGTTCAGAGTTTTTCCATCAGTCAAATGTTTCGTCCCAAAGTCACCTGCAACATAATTCCGCATTAACTCCCGGTGGAAAGATGTATTGAAGGAATCCTCTGTATCCAATATCCAGTCATCAACAATATTGTGAACTGCAACAATAGTGCATCATGTACTTCTTTAGTTACAAAATTAGCGCTATCATTCACCTTCTTGGGATTCCTACAGTTCTTTTTATGTTGTCAGCTTTGCCACTATTCTGACAGGTTGCTTGCTGACCAGACTTTGATTTTGTTCTTCCTCTGTTTGAGTTCATGTCATATGATCTCTCTCTGGAACAACATTCAGTGTCAAACTCGAACCCGAGGTCTCGCCAGAATCTTTTTTGTGCATCTCTTCAGCCAAAATCAAATCGTTAATATCATCATACTTCAGTTTAGATTTACCTGCAGAACTGCTAACTGTCATCCTCATAGTTTTTTAGGTACTTGACAATGAAACCAACAATATCAACGCCTGTATCTCATCGTCAAAATCAATTTCACACACGACAATTGATTTGTGATGGTATTGAAATTATTCAGGTTTTGGAGCAAAATACACAACTTCTGGCATCCTCAAGTTGAATAATTTTTTCATTAAATAAACATTGTTATTCATCGATGACTTTTCATACATACCTGAGAAAGCCGTTATGAGATCTGTAGTAGTCTGCTGACGTTGCGGACAACCGATCTAGATAGTGTTAATCGTATAATCCTAAGAATTTGTCGATCCAACAGATTTCATTTTGCCTCGTCCATCTTTTTCGACTTCTTTGCCAGTAATGACAAGTGAAGTTTCTTCCCATAGAGGTAGTCTTCTATTTGCATCATCCAGTAACCAAAATTTGTGTCATTAAATTTCTCGATCTCTAATGTCATCACTTCGTCTTCTGTCATCGTTCTTTCTTATAGTCGAAACCATAGTTTTGATACTAGTTGTGAAAAACGACGGCAATAAAGCAAAAAATTGGAACGAAAAAATTCGCAAAACTGAAAACACAGCAGAACACACATATTTACTTGTTTCGGTAAATTGTCTACGTTCACGAAGTTGCAGAGGATTTATTGTTTTGAAGATTACATCCATCGATCACATCGGCGATTACAACCAAAGATCTCTCTCTCTCATCCTCTCTCTCTCCTCCTTTCTCTCTCTAACTGCAAGTCGCACTGAGGAAGAAACAAAAAAGGCTGCAACTTGCGATTTCTTGCTTCCATTAGGCAGAGCGCTGAACCAACACAGGAAGTCGTAGCAAGTGATTTCTTTTCTTGTAAAACAAATGCCCGAGAGATATTACAAGGAGAGTTGTAGCGTATATATTTATTAATTTCATCATGTCATTAGACCCAATAAGAAATTAATCAAATAATTAATGAAGCTCATTAATTATTTTATTTTCTCGTCTACAGCAAATCATAGATGGCGGAATTCATGCAAGGAAAAATGTAGAAGATTTTAGGGAAGGAATTAAGAGTAATTAATTCAGCAATTAATTTCGAGTATCAAATCAATTTGCTATCAAACATGAGAAATTATTAATTTGAACAATGAAACTGTTTCCATATTCGTAACAATAATTATGCTCAATAAAGGAAATAATCAAATCATGATGTTATTTAATTTCTCTTCACTAGGGGCAGAAGTAGGGGTGTGAAAAAACGGAGCTTGAGCGAGCCAAAGTGTTTTTTTATGTTCGACTTGATTCAAATTTATATAGCGGCTTCAACTCATGTTTAGCTCAAAACTAGCCCAAATTATTAAAATAATAATAAATTTTAGTATTTTTTTATAAATACAAAATAAAATTTTATATAATAAAATTATAATAATATTAAATTTTAATTATTTAAATAATTCGACTCACAACAATTCAAACTAGATCAAATCAAAGTTTAACCTTCCTTTGTTTGTTATAAATCGAAGTTAAAAAGTATGTTTTTGGCGCGTTTGTTTGGCAAACAAATTTGTCTCGATTTTATTTAGTGAGCCTTATTGAGGAGATGGCCCTATTGGTAGAGTTTTTAAAATTATTTTGTTTTCATATTAATATTATAACATGCACTTAGTATGTAGGCGTATATATGTATGTACATCTATAACACACAATTCGTATGTGTTTTGCATATCTCACACAAAAACTATTATATTTGCGTACTTTGCACGCTCAAATCTAGAATATCATATAAAAAATAACATTATAAACACTTTTTAAAGCTAAAACCCCTCTTTATGCATAGTTTAAAGCACCAAAATGTTATGTATATAAACATGAAAGTTTATGTGTGAGATATGTAAATGCATAAGAATTGTGTGCTACATATGTAAATTTCCCTCATATTTATTATGAATTTATGAGATTTATTATGATGATATTTTGTCATAAGTTTCATTAAATAAAGAGGATGGTTTTTTATGATTTCCAACATAACATCTTGGCCTATCTGTAGCTCCTATCTTTGTGTATTTCTGGAGTAAGTGCTCGAGAATTATACTACTAAAGAAGTTTCTAGCTATTTTAGGGCTATGAGATCAGCTGCATTTGAATTGAAGAACAACTATTTGAATAACATGAGTAGAATTGGTTTGCAATATGAACTGAACATTGTCATCATAAGTAGGAAAGAATCTAAATTATATATCATCATCACCTTCTATTTCTTCCATTTAATATCAAGTATGTACATAGGAGATATCTGAGGAAATATCTATTTTCTTCCTTTTGATGAATTTGAATTAGTTATAAATATAAAAAATAAAAAGTTTAACAAATAGAACATATCCTTTATTTACTATGCGAACTTTCAAAAATTTAGAGCTATTTGTCACCTCCCAAAAAAGCTCTTTGGGGCGGTGGGTAGCCCATGATTTAAATATTATTTTTCGGCCCTACACCTAGCCTGATGTGAGATTTTTTGTTTGTAATAATCTCTCCCACTTAATCACGTGACGCCCTCGTCACGAATCGGCTCCACCGAGGGTCCCACTGGACCATGGAGAGTCCACACACCTATCAGACAGTAATCTGCTCTGATACCACTTTTCACCTCCCAAAAGAGCTCTTCGGGGTGGTGGGCAACCCAGGATTTAAATACTGTTTTTCGGCCCCACCTAACATAATGTGGGATCTTTTGTCCGTGACATATTAGTATTAATCTAACTGTAAAGAGTAGCTCAATTCAGACTAAAGAATACCAATTCATCATAAGACAAAAATTGGTTTTGATTAATTTTGATTTTTTTTTTATTAGCCCTTCGACATATTTCATTATATTTTTAGGGTTTAGGGCTTAAATTTGAGTTTTAAAATCAATCATAATCAAATTTTATACATAATAAATTATCTCCTTTTTTTTTTCCATATTCCAATAATCCAAAACACAGCAGTCAGGAACGCATTATAACTTATATCACACTTAAAGATGTCCCAACAAGTATTTAATTCCTTCCATTTACACACACACACACAGATATATATATATATATATATATATATAACATTAATATATTAAACAAAGTCCCTAATTATGCCGTATATATCTTAATAAAGTTTCTAAAATATGTACGAGGTTCTTTGCATGATGACCGGCATACGTCCCTTTTAACTAGCTTGCATGCATGGCTCTTTAATTCATATGTGATTCTGCAATATAAATATATTAAATGAAAATAAATTCAAAAGAATATTAAGGTATTTTGACAAAAAAACTCTCGGATTATTCATTTAATTATAACATACGCATTTTTGAAAGGAAATTAATTTCCCTGTAAAAAGACAAATGAGGTTTAATTAACAAAGAATAGAATTGGGTGGAATAATGTGTTACCAGAGCTGCAGTCCATGGCCATGGAGTTCAGAGTACTGCAGATTAGGCTGGGTAGGCTGCAGCTGAAATGGAAGTGTTTGTGGGCCCAGCTGAAGCATGCTTCTAGAATCTTCTAGAAAATGACCGAAGGGTTCTAGAAGACTCATTTCCCTTAACTTATGTTCCTCTTCCATCTGCCGCTCCTGCTCCATCTCCACTTCATGCTCTGGCATGATCTGAAAATCAGATTTATATATTTAGGCAATAAATAAATAAATAAGGCTGAATAATATAATTTACAAATATGGTGATTCGTTGTAAACTTACAGATCTGTATAAGCAGGTGTTCTGGTCTGCTAATATGTGCTCCTGTTTGTCGTGGCATGAATGCATGGCAGATTAGGGTTTTGATTGATTGATTGATGAAGATGAAGAAGAAGCTTTATTGCCATAATAGATGAGATTGAATTTTGTACCTTTCGGCGGAGGTTCTCGAGTTGTTGATGGAGGAGTTCATGCTGTTACAATACATATATGCATCAAGAGAAAAAGAGAGGTTAGTTTTCGAGCTTAATTAATATTCTATGAAAAAATAACTTCGATTATATATATAATATATTCAATTCCTATGTATTTACATATCTCACATCTAAACTTTAATTTTTATATATATGCCAAAGGTTGTATTTCAAACATTACATGTCACTCAACTCCAAAGTATGTATATATATCGAGACACACACCTAGAAGTTAAAATTTAGATGACAAGTATGTAACAAATCTAGAGGTAACTTTTTGAGAAAAAAAAGTTCAATCTCTGATTAAAAATTATCAATAACTTTGATTTCAACAAACTTATGGTCAAACTGCTCGGCTCGATGAGACAGACCTAATGATGCCAAAATTGGCTAAATCATAGCAGAATCAAATTGTTAAGCTATTTTTGAAAGCTTTCGGTATATAATTGAAAGTCAAATGAATTCTAAATCTGATAAGCTTATAATCAAATCGAGTGTATCTATGAATCAAATCCAACAAACCTAAGATTGCTAAGTCTCTCACAAATTTTATAGATACATCACCACTTGAGAGGGACCTAGACCTTGAGCCATAAGAAGACCTAAGCTTTGAGAATGAGCTTAAATATAACTTCGCTTCTGCACCATAGATCATACGAATACCTTCCGCTTCTGCAGTCGCCAACTATTGTCAATAACCATCGGTTGTCCTCTCCATATGACTTACATTGCGCGAAGCAACAACTAATGTCATGGAGTCACGAAACATCTTGCTGAGCAATGCATCATCCCAAACATTATGCTAACTTCAAACATGATATACCAAAGCTTCGGCAACTACTCCCCACTAAGACTGCTTCATACCGTGGGGCAACAAATTCTTTTGTGCACAACCATTTTAACTTGAGAGATTGTGCAATCATTTCCCCCGCCTGTGAGTCAACGACTTATATATATAATCACCAACTCATATTAGATCTTTTCAATAAAGCTAGACCCGTGACTTTTTTCTTTTTCAGATTTTCCACATAATAACATATGATTTTTCTACTCGTCATTTTTATTACCTTACAGTATATTGGATTCTACTGCAACGTCAAGATGATAATTTGTTGTTTTGCCCTCGCAAATTCTCTAGCATGCATCAAGTGGTATGTACATAAATTTTTCTATAAAATATTAAAAAAATTAAAAATTAAAAAGTGAGCACCTTGCGTGTCCGAATCTTAGAAACAGAGTAATCAAGCTGCTCTTCTAACAGGTTAAGATCATTAATGGTTAGGCCAGTCAAGTCTTCCCCAGTAAACTGCCTAATGCTCGCCTGAAGCACATGTGTGTCCTGCTTTATTTTTGCTAGCTCGAACTGAAGTAGCTGAGAATTATTTAAAAGAAACTCTATTATTATTATTAAAATTTGATTAATATGAATAATTAATACAATATTAATACTAATCTCAATATTAATCATTAGATTAGAACTTTTTTTTTAGTTAAGTTCGAGGGAAAATCTCATGCTTAGGGATCATACCTGGTGGCTGTTAAGGTCCTCCAACTGGATATGGTGAACTTTAAGATAGTCTTCTATGATTCTTTCCATGCTGCAATAATTAATTATAATTGCACTTTAGTTTTGTATAAATATGCGGCACTATATAATTAACCACATGTTAAAGCTATAAATTAATCAAATAATTAGCTTATTAATTAGATAGATACTATTGAATTAAATTTCATGAAAAAAAAAACTAGTTTTTACTTCAAGAAAATAGATTGCATTTATGAATCTTTATGATTCCACTAAAGTTTATAGATATTTATTTTTATATGATTAATTAGCTGGTAGTATATAATTTATTCAACTTTTTACCAAAATGTAAAAACTATATATTTAGTTTTTTTTTTCTTTTGATGCATGTTAATCTTGTTTTAATCATGTATTAAATTAAACCAACTAAGGATATAATCACAAAACAATATTTATGAAATGATGCATGATAAAGCTATATATATATATATATATATATA